CTTTCTTTCCATTCCCGATGTTCCCACCAGTCCTCTCTTTGATCAGTAATTCATTTCCACACAGTTCTTAATCTCCTGCTTGTGATTAGTAATTTGCAACGATTCTTTCTCTCTGGGTGGGGGGGGGGAGGGTTATTGGGTACTCACATAAGACAAAAAAAGAAAAGTTTTTTCCTCCCCCCCTTTCCATTTCGCTCCGACATACCGATCTTTTAATGAGGAGTCTTCACTTGATTTATTGTCCAACCCGTCGCTCCGCATCACAGAGATCCCATTAATCAGCAGTCTTTACTCCCGATCTTCACTTGAAGTATGTGCATTTGCTTCTTTTCCAATGATATATTCCGAGCTGATGCAAACCAGTGCACGATCAGAGACAGCGTCCGGGAGAGCCGACCCCACCCGAGGGCTTCGTGCCTAGTGCCCTCACCCCCTTCTTTCGAATCCGGGGGTGAATTATGGACACAGCAGGCAAGGCAGTGCCCCCCATTCCCTTGGGGGGCAAGGGAGGCTGCATACTCCCATATCAGCCTCTTAATTTCCTCGTGTGGGTCGGAGAGATGTTATTGTCGGCCATCTTCCAATGCGCCCCCTGGTGCCCCCCCCAAATGTCCTGATTTCAGTGGCAATCTTCCCGTTTTAGTGGCTGTTGACAGAGAGATTTAGGGATTTTGTTTATTTTGAATGGTAACCACCCTTTGCTCTTAGGAACTGGCTGGTTAGTTGTCATTAATCTGTAAATAACTCGTATCATTTGCAGTGACAAGTATCTAGCGAGTGACTTGGTGGGAGCAAGAGAAATGTCTGCTTGTTTGGTTTCGGACTCTTCCTTTGTAAGTATTAAGAAAGATGCCTGGAAAAGGCTCCAGTTTAGCCAATGGAAAGTATTTTCTGCAAGGAAACACCAGTGCATATACCAAATTCTTGCAAACTTTTAAGAGGATTTACAAAGTATTGTAGCTATGTAGCTAGGTAGGCTTGTGCAGCTGCTGGTTGAAGCCCCCTGGGGGAGATGTCTCCAGATGTGAGCCAAGGGAATCCTCCTTAATGGGCTCGGGGTGGAGGATGCAGAATGGAAAGAAGCAGAAGTCCCAGCAAAGGAGGAAACGATGCAAAAACTTATGGAATATGCAGAAATGGCGAAACTTACCGGAATAATAATAAATCAGGATAACAAACTGTTTTATAAAAGAATGGAAATGGATTACTGAATTTTTACAGATAAAAACATTAGCAGGATTACTGTAATGATTACTGTAAAAACCTGCAGTTTTATAAGAGTATATATTTACAGTAGATAAATAAATGAGCAAGTTAAATGAATTTGGATATGCAGAATATATTTTTGAAAAAAATAATAATTTAAGGAACCGCAGAAAGAGGGGGAAGGAAGTCAAAATTTGGAAATGTTAAATTGTTTGCAAAACTAATGAAATGTATAAATTTGAAAAATATAAATAGAAAACTAAAAAAGAAAAAAGAAATGAGTGCCATGCGATGTGCCAGAACATCACCAGTGTTGGCTTGAGAGTCAACTCCCAACCGAGTCAGGTTTGATGCAGAGAATGGGAATTGCACCATCTTCTCCTTCGCCCCAGGCAGCAAAATCTCTTGGGCCGCTCCTGCCTTGAGGATGGGAGATGGTGGCTGCAGCTGAGGACAGCAGGGTGAAGAAGGGATGCATCTGGCCCAAGGGGGCACAGAGCCATGGACCGTCTCCCGGGCCAAGGAGGAGAGGACCTTGACCTTCAGCCGGTGTCTTTCCCAATGGGCACCTTTCACCAACAGGCCATTTGAACCTGGACAAAGATGGACCTGTGGGCTTGGGCCCCACTGACCTTTCCTTTCCTTGGGTCCAGCCCCCATTGCCCCCAGTCCACCCCCGATTCTCTCTGCAGATTGACATCCTCATCATCTTTTAAAAAGTGGGGAGGGGGGGGAGGCGTCAGCATGACTTAGCTTATGGGGTTTATGAAAAGCTCCAAAGCCATTTACAAGAGTCAAATGCAATCCTAAAAACGCGTAAGCATAATAAACATCTCCTTAAGGGGATCGAGGGGGCCCTGTGGGCAATGCCGTGCAACATCATGACGTCATGCGTGTGATGCTGTGTGATGCTGCATGACATCATGCATGAGACATTGCTCAACACCTTGAATCTTCTTCTTTGGCGATCCCTCGTAGCCGAGTAAGATTGTCTTCCATAAACACGGTTTTAACAGTGACCGAGGAGGCCAAATCTGGATCCACACATCCTTCCACATCCTTGGATCCTTTCCGGGTGGGAGTTGATCACGGCGAGGGTTTGCCAAGCGTGCCTTCCTCTTAGCACGTTTCTCCCTTTTGTCCTGAGTTTGAGCGTCTTCAAAGCCCAGGACACCTTTGGTCAAGGCTGTTCTCCAACTGGAGCGCTCACAGGCCAGTGTTTCCCAGTGTTTATACTACATTTTTAAAGATTTGCCTTGAGCCTTTGAACCTCTTTTGTTGACCACCAGCATTACACTTTGTGAGAACACCCTGAATATTAGGAGGCTCGTCCCCCTCAGCCCCTGCCAGGCATCATTCTGTGCACTTCTCAGTATAGTATGGTGCTGATGATGTCAAGGTTGCAAGTTCGATGGAGCAGCTGCATATTCCTGCATTGCAGGGGGGTTGGACTAGATGACCCTCGGGTCCCTTCCAACTCTATAAGTCTCTGATTCTGCGACCCTCTCGTGCGCTCGCCTTTTCTCTAAGCTGAAAAGCGCCCGCCGCCGCCACCCACCGCCCAAACCAGCTCCTGGTTCTCCAGGCAGCCACTGGGGGGGGAAATCTTGTCCTGCTCATTCCAAGCAGAAGAGGACCTAATTCAGCTGCTACTTTCAGCGGCGTAGCGTGGGTTGTCAGCACCCGGGGCAAGGCAAGTAATTTGCGCCCCCTAACCCCTAACCTGCCGCCGCTGCCAGCTTCTTCTTGCTGCTGCCTGGTCTGGTCTGGTGTGGTTCTCTCCCGCGCTCAGCGCTGCGCTGGGCGGCCGCTGCACTGTCCCTCCCCCAGATAGTCCCTCGCTCGCTCTCCGCACCACACGCCTGGCACCCACCCCCTCCACAGTGGGCGGCGACCCAGCGGCTCGGATTCTCACAGCCAGCACTGCAGTGAGAGAGAGTGAGTGAGCCAGGTAGGGGCAGAGAGCTGCGAGTGCGAGCGCGCCCCCCCCCAGATGTTGCGCCCGGTGCGGCCGGCCCCCCCTGCACCCCCCACGCTACGCCACTGGCTACTTTCATTTTCCTTTCGGAGAAGCAGCTAGTCTCTCGCTCGCGTTCACTGCAGGCAAACTCAAAACGGCGTGGAAGACGACGCGGGACAAGGAAGGATCTGCCGAAGCAGCTGAGGAGGTGAGGTCTGCCATCTGGGAAGGGCAGAGTGGTGGAGAGATGAGAGGAGGGAGAGAAGGATCTCGTTGCAAAGGGAGCCCCTGCTGCAAGAGGACCCGGGAGACGCCCCTTGTCCCGCTGGCAGCCCTGGGCAGCCTCTCCGCGCTCCTGGGCGCACCTTTCTCGCTCAGAAGCAGCTCCGTCAAATATGTCCAGACATACCAGGCTGGGCCCCTGCCCTCAAGCTTCCTAGGGAGGCAGCAGCTGTGTTTAGCCTGTTGCAACAAAGGGCAAGGAAGGATCCCTGTGGAGGATCCTTAAAGGCTGATCGACCGACTGTGGCTTAAGAGTGCGCCCAAACTGGGGCTTCTCTTCCACCACAAACAGGAACAGGGCAGTTGCAGGGGTGTTTTTGTCAGGGACACTGTACTCCTTCTGGCGCTTGCTGAAACTATTCCTTACCCTCCCAACGTTTTCCGATGAAAATAGGGACGTCCTATCCCATAATAATATTAATAATTTTATTATTTGTACCCATCTGACTAGGTGGCCCCAGACACTCTGGGAGGCTTCCAACATGTATATAAAAGCATAACCAAACATTAAACAGCTTCCCTATCCAGATGTCCTCTAAAGGTTGTCTAGTTACTTATCTCCTTGGCTCGTGGGTTCCGTAACTCCAGGCCCTCCAACATTTCTCTGACATCCTGAACCTGGATGTCTCTGTTGGTTAGAGCCAAGGTTGCAGGCTTGATCCCCGTTTGGGGCAGCTGGATATTCCTGCATTGCAGGGGGTTGGACTGGATGACTCTTGGGGTCCTTTCCAACTCTACAATTCTATGATTCTAAGGAAAAGCGGGACATTCTGGGATCACATCTGAAACCGGAGGGGCTTGTGTAAATCTGGGACTGTCTCTGGAACATAGGGACACTTAGAAGGTCTGTTAATCTTGCTTAGACAAGCCTATTCAGATGCTTAGAAAGCTGGCGAGACATTTAATCTGTTCTTAGCTCTTGCCATTTTAACTTTTTAACTCAGCTTTTAAGTCATTGTTAATTCTTCTTAATGGTGATTTTATCTTTTGGCAAAATGCTTTGAGATTCTTCCCCCCCCTTTTTTTTACAATCAAGGGTGCATATTTTTATGAAATGAATAAATTAAGCAAACACTCCACCAGAATATAAATTTTATTATTTGAACCCCACACGCCTGACTGGGTTGCCCCAGCTACTCTGGGCGGCTTCCAACAGATCTAAACACATAATTGATGTTTTATTATGTGGCTTTATGTCATATAAAGCCTTATATGTTTAGACTGATGTTTGCCAGGTGCTCTCTTCAGGGTGAGGGGGGTGTTCTTCTGCTTGCAATACGTGAAAATAATATTTGAAATTAATAATAATTATGTTTTTAATTGAATTCTGTTGAAGTGCCACCTGAGGAAAGAGCCACGGCGTTTGGGCACAGTTCAGTGGGCATTTCCTTTCTCATTGCTTGCAAAATATTCTGAACATTTTTATGTCTGCAACGTGCTGTTTCTCATTTGAGGTACCACATGTCTGAACTAGGGGTGGGGTGCTGGCTTTGCAGATGGAAGGCTGCCTGAGAATATCATCTTGATTTCTTGCCATTTTTTTCAGGGGAAGATGGACGGGACCAGAGGAGGTAAGGAAGGGTTCCAGTGACTCAGAGGCAGATTGACTGCTTGGGGTGGGGTGGATTATTCCAGATCTATTTCACAGGAGCTTTTCACGGCACCCCCAATGACATTTATTTTATTTATTTGCAGAAAAAATATTGTTATACCAATGTGCAATATTTTGGGATTTGGGGAGGTGGGAGGTGCCTGGGTGGGATGCCATCCTGATGCACATCTGCCCTCGGCTGCATCAGGCCACTGGTTCGCCCGGCTCATTCTTGCCTGCACTGACCAGAGCTTGGAAAAGGAACTAGCGCTTGTTCAAATTCAAGATGCATATCATAAATCCCTGCATATTTTACAAAAAACTAAACCATTCAGTATTCCATTATTGCATCCATCAAAACTTATTTACACTGCTGAATTTATCAGGTGTACACAAACGTTTCCCAATCTGTTCTTCTTCTGCTTTTATTTATACAGTGGTGCCTCGCAAGACGAAATTAATCCGTTCCGCGAGTCTCTTCGTCTTGCGGTTTTTTCGTCTTGCGAAGCACAGCTATTAGCGGCTATTAACGGCTTAGCGGCTTAGCGGCTATTAGCGGCTTAGTGGCTTTAAGAAAAAGGAAACAAACTCGCAAGAACTCGCAAGACGTTTCGTCTTGCGAAGCAAGCCCATAGGGAAATTTGTCTTGCGGAACGACTCAAAAAACGGAAAACTCTTTCATCTAGCGAGTTTTTCGTCTTGTGAGGCATTCGTCTTGCGGGGCACCACTGTACATGTGTACGCTTTACATATGCATTCAGTCTCTCTGAGGATCAGAAAACAATATAATTCTCAACAATCACATATTAAGAGGGATCCCACCAGAAGTGGTTGCTCTGATATTTTTGCTGACCAGCTCTTCGCTGTCTTTCAAAACCCGCAGGAAATAGGAGAGAACTGAGGATCGTCCTTGTGGGCAAGACTGGAGGCGGCAAAAGCGCCACAGGAAACGCCATCCTTGGCCAGAAGCTCTTTGATTCAAAACTTCAGGCCAGGACAACCACGTTGGTCTGCCAGAGGGCGTCTTGCACTTGGAGAGGCCATCCTGTGTCCGTGATTGACACAGCGGATATTTTGGGCACCGGAGCTTGCGATGAAAGGCTGGACCAGGAGACCAAGCGCTGCCTTGACCTCTCTCAGCCTGGCCCTCACGCGCTCGTGTTTGTGACCCAGGTGGGCCGTTTCACCGCGGAGGATGAGGAGGCAGCCCAGCGAGTCTGGGAGATGTTTGGGACAGAGGCCATGAAGCACACCATCATCTTGTTCACCCGCAAAGAAGCCTTAGAAGGCAACTCCTTGCGGGATTACGTGATGCAGTCAGATAACGAGGCTGTCCGGAAGCTGGTCCAAGAATGCGGAGGGCGCTTCTGCGCTTTTAATAACAGGGCGGCAATAGAAGAACGAGAGGACCAGGTCTCTGAGCTGATGGAGATGGTCCTGGAGATGGTCCAGGGGAATGCAAAGCCATACCTGGAGACGCCCATCATGGAGGCAGCGCTTGGATCTTACATCTGCAGGAAAAGGGCCAAGGAAGAGGGGAAAGGGAAAGCTCGCAAGGGTGTCAGCTCCAGAAAAGTATTTATCGCCTTATGTGTGTTTGGTGCAGGGCTTTACCTGTTATATTACCATTGTAATCGTTTCTCTCAATATCTCCCCTTTAGCAAAGCTGGGGATTTTTAAAGCCAGCCCACCAGCTTCTTATGAGGTGTCAGGAGAAAAACAAATAAACTAATGAACAAACCGGACTGTCTGGGTGCAATGTCCTAAGAATCGCATGCTTATTATTTTATTTGCCATTGTATCAGTTGCAATGCCCCTGTGACTCTGGACAAATAGGAACAACAGAGCATGTGCTTCTCCAGCGCCTATACTCTAGAGACATTTGTATTAGCCTCCTCTCCCCATTACACCACAAGTACCCAGGGCGCACAGGACAATTTTATGCCTCCCTGCTGCTGTCAGATCCCAACCCTGCTGCAACATACAAAATTGCCAGGTTCTGCACAGCAGCGCTCAAGATCCATTGGATGATGACCTGCCCCACAAACTAGATTTCATGAACACTCACATCATAGTGCTCTCTAAACTGATAGTTGTAGTCTTTTATATACTAATCTTTTATGCTCCTCCACATCCATTTAATGCTCCTAACCCCTCTTTTAGTTTCTTTTAGATTCTTATAGTCTTTTAGATATACCTTCTCTTTTAATACTTTTTAGCTTTCCAAAACGTTTTACAGATTCTAAATGATTGCACCCCACCCTACTTATTCTGGTCTATGGCCGTAATAAAGATTTGATTGATTGATTGATTGATTGATGATGGATTGCATCAGTTCATTCCATTTCTGAATCACACATCGAACCAATTGAACAGGACAAACATAACAATAAAAGCACATATAAAACTATTCCATGTACGCAGACAAGGAAACAAACTCACATATCTTATCAAAGCCAGTACTAGAGCTGGATTGTAATATTGTCCGGAAGTGGTTTGAAGTCCGTATCGTGGTATCGGTTTCATAATATTTGACCTGGCAGTTTATCGCAAATCATGATGTGTGTGTACTATGCAGAAATCACAATGTGGGAATAATAATAATAATAATAATAATTTATTATTTATACCCTGCCCATCTGGCTGAGTTTCCCCAGCCACTCTGGGCGGCTCCCAATCAGTGTTAAAACAGTACAGCGTTACATATTAAAAACTTCCCTGAACAGGGCTGCCTTCACGGGAAAAACCATGAAGCCAGTCAGTGCCTCTACACAGCTCCATCCATACATCAGACATTGTGATATATCGGTATATCATGGTGTTTAGCTGGTGATATATGGCCGTGTTGAAAGCCAGATATCTGTTCACATCTATAGCTCCATCCTTATTTCAGACATTGTGATAAATAAATATATTGCAGTGTTTAGCTGGTGATGCATTGCAATGATGAAAACCAGATATTGCCGTGCCCTAGCCAGTACAGATCAAAATCCCCACTTGTTAATGGGAAGGATTCTGATCTGGGTGGCAAACCATAATTATTCCCACTTAACAAATGGGTGACTGGGGCTGACTGCATACAGTATATTTAAGTTGCATGATTCCCCACAGAGAATTCTGGGAACTGGAGTCTGTGAAGGGTGTCTGGGATTGTTGCTCTCTGAGAGGTGAACTACAGTTCCCAGGATTCCTTGAAGGAAGTCATGTGCTCTTACTGTTCTTTCAATGTGTGAAGCTGACCACTGACTGAGTTAAGTCCAAAACAAGCATGAATGAGTGTCCATAAAGAAATTTTGAAAAGAGGAAGAAAAATGGTTTGGGGAGGGGTGTGTGGCGTTCGCACGGAGCCCCCGGTCGTCTCACGGACTATTGACCCGTACACCACTAATCCGCTGCCACCAACCAGGTCCTCTCTGCTAAAAATCACTTCAGTCTCAGTCAGCTTTTCAATTAATAAAGAAGAGTGTATTTTATTTCAGACACAAACAAAACTTTTACAGCATTCCAAATGTTGTTGCTCTTTACTTTCTTAGTCTTATTTTCCTCTCTCTATCTCTTCTACCTCCCGACACTCAAGAACCCACGGCCCTAACTGTCTCTCCCAACCAACTGCCTTTCCCAACCAGCCAACCCACGAAAACCCACCAACTCCCCACCAACAACTCCCAACCAACTCCTCCCAGAACTGGTTTTATAAACCCACTGACTCCACCCCCTGGGTCCTGTCTGTGCAACCTATTTAACTATTTCCCCTCCAGCACTTTCTCATACATGGTAACATCACAGGGGGTATTCAGAAGACAGAGAAGCCGGTGTTTAACCCTTTGCCTGCACACAATTTCCCCTCTCTAAATTCTCATAACATGGTGCTCATAGCACTCATAACATGGTGCTCATAGCGCCAAAGTCATGAATTCAATACCCTTACGGCAACTTGCAGATTCCTGCATTGCAGAGGGTTAAACTAGATGATCCTTGGGATCATCTCAGGATCAGTTCGATGATTCTAACCTTAAGCCATAAAATACAGAAATATTCCTTTAAAATACAAAAAGCATTTCATTCTGCCTTGCTTTTAAAGTGAAAGGGGAGAAAGAGCAGCTTTCTCCTGAGACAAGCCTCTCCTGCAAGTCTGTTTGCCAGACTTGAGATAAGAAATGGCTTATCAGTTCTGAAGCAGCAAAGCAGTTACTCTCTGGAAAGTAGCTCAGCTCCTGCAGTTTGGAGAGCATTTTGCAAATGGGAATGTCCACAAGCAGTGCTGGATTTACGTAGAAGCTGAAGAAGCTATAGCTTAGGGCCCCATTCTATTGGGGTCCCCTAAAAAATGTAACGGGGGGAAAATGGTACATTTCCAAAATAAAGGTAAAGGGACCCCTGACCATTAGGTCCAGTCGCGGACAACTCTGGGGTTCCGGCGCTCATCTCGCTTTACTGAAGAAGAAGAAGAAGAGTTTGGATTTGATATCCCGCCTTTCACTCCCTTTAAGGAGTCGCAAAGCGGCTAACATTCTCCTTTCCCTTCCTCCCCCACAACAAACACTCTGTGAGGGGAGTGGGGCTGAGAGACTTCAGAGAAGTGTGACTGGCCCAAGGTCACCCAGCAGCTGCATGTGGAGGAGTGGGGAATCGAACCCGGTTCCCCAGATTACGAGACTACCGCTCTTAACCACTACACCACACTGGCTCTGTACTCTGTACTGGCCGAGGGAGCCGGCGTACAGCTTCCGGGTCATGTGGCCAGCATGATGAAGCCGCTTCTGGCGAACCAGAGCAGCGCATGGAAACACAGTTTACCTTCCCACCGGAATGGTACCTATTTATCTACTTGCACTTTGACGTGCTTTCGAACTGCTAGGTGGGCAGGAGCAGGGACCGGGCAAAGGGAGCTCACCCCGTCGCGGGGATTCAAACCGCCGACCTTCTGATTGGCAAGCCCTAAGCTCTGTGGTTTAGACCACAGCACCACCCGTGTCCCTTCTCATTTCCAAAATAGAAGATAAAAAACAATTACTTTGATATAATGCATATTTTGTGATGTGCAAACGGCTTGAGATACCACCTATGACGTCCATAAATGACCATATACCATATATTCAACACACAAAAACCAGCGACAATTTGTTGTTGACAAAGGACAGCTGGACATCTGAAGGGCCCCATTAACTCCAGGAGCTGAGGGCCTCATCAAACCTCAATCCGGCCCTGGACACAAGTTCTAATGAGAGAGGAAACTTTTCTGTCTCTTTTCTCTGTCCACGTGCCATGAGTGGAGCCCCATGGACTCTGTGGGGTTGGCTTTCGAGAATGCATGTGCAGGATTGGGCTCTCTGCCGCTTGCAGTGTCCCTCTCCCCCCGGAGTTGCTTGCAAAGCCTTTTCCCTTCCAACCTGCTGCTGTCTCGGGCAGCCAGGGGGCGTCCCCTGCTCTGCTTCAGGAAACTGAATTTATTCCGCCCCGTGAACTTTCATTTTCAGCTCCGAGCAGAACCTTCATCTCACAAGCTGAACGATTTCAGGGAGAGCGGAGGAAGGAGCAGCGTACAGAGCAGAAATAGGAAAAATCCACTGATGAAGAGAGAATTCTTGTAATCTCCAAAAAGGTAGGGGGAAGAGACGGAAGCTGCAGGTGAGGGGGGGGGCAGGCAAAGGAGTCCAAACCGATTAGTTTTTTCATGGTGCAATTCTGTACGTGTTGGCTCAGAACTGAGCCCAATGGGATGTTCAGGACTGCAGCTCACAGGCAAAGCATTTCTGCATGAAGAAATTGAAATAGGCATTCAGAATCTGCTGGTTGAAGCCATCCAAGGGGACGTTTGCATGATGACAAGATGAAACCTGGCTCACGAAATGTTTGCCCATGAAGAGATGAGGGTTGGTGATGCCTCGCTGAGGGGACTTTATGCGAGGATAGGGACAGGGGAGGAATTTAGTTCACAGTTAAAACTGAGCCTACATAATTTGCACTTTCTGAAATAAAATGGAAACTGAAACACAGCCAACCTTCGCGATTCACACTTTTCTGAATTTTGTGGTGCAGTTCTCCAGCCAAACAATGTATATGAAAATGCAAAAAGGGGAAGTGTGGAATAAAATACATATATTACTTTTTAAAAAATTAAAAATCCATGCATTATGTTGGGGAAATTGCTTGCAAGAATGTGTACATACAAAATGTTTTTAGGAGAGATTTGCAGTAAATGCTGGTGAATTTGCATGAGGTTTGTTTTATATTTTAATGCAGATTGCTGCACAACTTTAGAGAGCTGTATTTGTCAAAATGAGACATTGAGAGAACTGATGTGAGGCAGGGCTTAGCCTCAGAACCTGTTTTGAGGGCCACAACTCTGCCCAGCAAAAAATTAAGTAATTGCATATAGAACAAAGAAACAAAAACCAAGATTTGGGGTGGATTCATGGCCAAAATATTTAAAAATTATTTGAAGAATTTGTGGTAGGATCAGTTTTGCTCTAGTTCCTGATGGCACCGAGTTTTACCCTCAGGCTCAGGTGACTAAGCACAGGAACTGATTCCATCTCTTGACACATTTAAAAGCATTTTTTGGCTGAGAATGATATCCCTGAAGTCTGACAGAGTCATGGCACACCAACTGCACAATTGTAGAAATGTCTGGATTGGTATCCGTTTAATGGGTGTGTGGTCTTTTGAATTTGTAAAATATTTCCTCTTCATGTGTGTCATGCTGGTGGCTTTCCTTCTGTAAATCTGCACATCAGTGAAAATAAAGAAATAAGTGGGATTTTACTGGGATTTAAAATAAAAATAAAAATGTATGGACTGCAAAAATAAAAATCTGCCACAGAAAGTAGCTTGCAATTGTTTGTACAGCCGTAACTCTGTCATTTGCAGGGAGAAGAGACCGGGGCGGGTGAGCCAGTGGCAGCGAGATATGGCAAAGCAGTCAGGATCCCCCAAGGTAAGTGGGAACCAAGGTGCCATTTAGGAGATATCCGGATCCTGGCCGGCTAGAGGAGTCCAGCTCTCCTCCCAGCTCTCTTGCAGGACAGAGGAAGTAGCTTTTGCAGACCCAGTTTGGTCCTCGTGATGCTAATGGAGCTTTTGTCAATTGTCACTTCAGTGATAAGGAAAAATCCTGGGGTGCAGATTTACTCCGCTGCCTGGCTCGTCGGGGTGCCACTCCCCGCGAATCCCTCTGGTCAGCAGGAGGAGGAGTCTCCAGCCAAGTTAAAGAAGCAAAACAGTGGCCAGTAGACCTGATCTTTATTTGTTGCAACAAGGTTCAAGCACACAGAGAATAGGAACCCCGAGCTTGGGGTTGCGTGAACTTTAAAGACCTTCTGCCCCTTCCCATAATACAATTCCAGATACATCACAAATATGTCACAAAGTAGGAGTGCTTGGCATGTAGAAACATGAGCCCATCACCCACTCCTGGCAATAACCCCAGTTCCTGACACCTTTTAACTACCCTCTCCCCCAAGGAACACAGGCCCCACAGATTTATGATAATCCTCTCTCAAGTTTGCACTTTTGAGGACCCGTGTCCCGGGGCGTTGGATTTGCTGACCGAAGGCTGCTAGTAGCTAACATGTTATGTTGCAACAAACATTCCAGGGGCAGAAGTGGTGGCTCAGATCCCGTCGGAAAGATTCTGGTAAGTGTTCCCCCATTGAGTTTAACATCCTGCTGCATAGGATAGGGAATATCATAGAGGGTTGCCATGTGCCCTCTTTTTCCAGTAAAGGTAAAGGTAAAGGGACCCCTGACCGTTAGGTCCAGTTGTGGCCGACTCTGGGGTTGCGGCGCTCATCTCGCTTTACTGGCCAAGGGAGCCGGCGTACAGCTTCCGGGTCATGTGGGCAGCGTGACGAAGCCGCTTCTGGCGAACCAGAGCAGCGCACGGAAACGCCGTTTACCTTCCCACCAGAGCGGTACCTATTTATCTACTTGCACTTTGATGTGCTTTCGAACTGCCAGGTGGGCAGGAGCAGGGACTGAGCAACGGGAGCTCACCCCGTCGCGGGGATTCGAACTGCCGACCTTCTGATCGGCAAGTCCTAGGCTCAGTGGTTTAGACCACAGCACCACCTTTTCCCCATCTTTTCCAGTAGAAGTTGGCAAATGTGTCCTCTTTTTTGCTCCTCAAAATATGTTTGTGTGTGTGTTTATTCCATATACAGTGGTACCTCGGTTTAAGTACTGAATTCATTCCGGAGGTCCGTACTTAACCTGAAACTGTTCTTAACCTGAAGCACCACTTTAGCTAATGAGGCCTCCTGCCGCTGCCGCGCTGCCGGAGCACAATTTCTGTTCTCATCCTGAGGTACCACTGTACCTGAAAGAACACTGTAAACAATTAAAAACATTAGCAGGACTACAATAACACTTGCAATGTGAAAAAGACTATGGTTAAAATTTGAGTTATATAGATAAATAGAGAATGGTATGAGATGCAGAAGAAAATGTTGTTTGTGGACTCCACGGAGGGGAGGAGGGAGGTCGGAGAATTCAGAGAATTCAATATTTCATTATTGTATTCTAGGTTTGAATGTCAAATCATAAATGTAAAATTAATTTAGAAATTTTTTTTAAAAAAAAATAAAAGGGACGGGTATGAAGGGGGGACTCCCCCCCTTACGTGTAATGGATCCCCAGGGGATCCACTGCAAGAATGTGGTTGGTCAAGGGAGCCGTGGGCTCGAAAAGTTGAAGAGCACTGCTCTGACGTGATCTTTCTAATTCACAGGGGACAAGGATGAATCAGAACTGTGTATCGTCCTTCTTGGCAAGGCCGGTGTGGGGAAAAGTGCCACAGGGAACACCCTCCTCGGACGGGAGAAATTTCACTCGGCCTTTTCAGCTAAGCCAACAACTCAGAACGTCCAGAAGGAGAGTGGGGAATTTAAGGGCCAGAAGTTTTCTGTGATTGACACGCCCGCTGTCTCTAGTTCAAAATCTCTCAAACAGCACAAGCAAGAGATCAAAAAACTCTGCAAGTCCAGTCCTTACGTTCTGGTCTTTGTGATAACAGTGGGCCGTTTCACTCCAGAAGACAAGAAAACTGCTAAAAAGGTCAAGAAAAGGTTTAGGAAGAAGTTCAGGAAGCGCATGCTTGTCTTGTTCACCCACAAAGAGGATCTGAAAGGTGAATCCTTGGAGGACTATGTGGAGAAGTCCGAAAACAAGGCGCTCCTGAAACTGGTTAAGAAATGTGGGAATCGCTACTTTGCTTTGAATAACAATACAGCTGGAGAAGAGAAGGAGGAGGCCTCCAAGCTGCTGATGGAAAAGCTCTGGGAGATCCTTCACGGGGACGGATCAAGGCCCTGCACAGAAAAAGGGAAAGAGGAGGAAAGGGGAAAGAATTGAAGGATGCTCTTATATCATCTAGTTCATAGTGTTTCGTTTCTTTCTAAAATATGTGGGGCTTCCCTTGTGCCTAATCTGGAAGTTGCAATGAGTGCAGGATGTCACCATTGTTGACAGCAGCAGGTGCTTGTCAGCCTAGGACGCCTGGGCTCAGAGACCTGCCCTGGCTCCCGATTTGCTGCCAGGCCAAGTTCAAGGCATTGCTCTCAGGATATTAAGTCCTTAACAGTTTGGGAGCAGTTTAGCCCTGAGATCGCCTGACCCCACATGTGGTCTTTGGACTGCTTTGATTGGCAGAATGGGCACAGTTACAGGTGCCATGTAATATCTGTTCTGTGTTGATAAGTAATTGCTCTTTCGGTGTGGCGGCACCCACACTCCCTGCATATCGACATCAGGCAGGCAACTTTGCTTTTTTTTGCTGCCTGCAAAAAACATTTTTGATCAGACAAGGCTACTCACATATTTAGAATTCTGATAAGTTTGTAGTTTGTCGCTGGTTTTAATTTGTGGATGTTTTCATTGTTATTAATCATAATCCTGTTGTTTTATTCATTTTGCAAAGCACTTTGAGGTTTTCTACAATCAAGAGGTAAAGGAATTTTACGAAAATAATAACATAACTGTCTGCAGTTTCCTAAACCCCACATAGGAGTGGATACATCAATCCACTTCAGTTCTCTCAGTTTCTCATTTTTCCTGTCTTAAACTCTCTGGAAATGCATTATTTTTATTTTTGAACCATTATGAAAGTTTAGCCATATCTTTGTGTCAATTTCTCCTAACAAACACCTTTGTAAATTACATACATACTTTTGCAAGCCACAGTTCCTAATAAAACGCACCTTTGCATGTCATTTTCACGGTTTTACGCGTTCTTGTGAACTCCAGCTAGAGAACTGCGTCGCGAGATTCCACAAAGGGAGGATTTTAGATATTGGCTGTTTCATTTTGCTTTGGAAAGTGGAAATTTACTATTTCCACCTTTCAAAGGAAGCTGGATCAAATTTGTCCTGCATCCCTCATTCCACCTCCTTGTTCCTCAGACCCTTTAATCACCCATCTGTCTGGTATTTGTAGGGGCAGCCCCATGGTAAATCCTATTGAACTCAGTGGGACTTACTTCTGAGTAAACATGGTTCAGCTTGCAGTGTAAAGCTGCCTAGCTTTTACCCAGTTACCTGGGAGTAGACAGCTCAAGGCTCCATTTTCAATTAAGGAATAAACACTCCCAGTGTTTCCTGAGAAATGGCCGGCAGCTGAAGCATTGCAATTACGGAATGGAAAGGGGATTGGTGACCTTTTTCTTCAAAATTATAGGAGGGGCTTTGTGCGCCACCATCACCATTTCCTCCATTTGGTGCAGGAATTTTATTTTCA